AGGGAAATTGAGTGATAAATTAGGGTTATGTTTTATTATATAGTACCTGATTTTTGAATGATAAAACTTAGTCCCTGATTTTTTGAATTCCAAACTTTAATCACCTGAGTTTTTATAATTTCTCTTAAATAAAACGAAACACCAAATAATATGGGCTTGGAACTTAATAATATAACCTCTGAAAATGATTAAATCATACCAAAAAAGAAGAACCAAATCAATAAAATATTTTCAATCTACCACATAAAAAGTAAAAGATTGCACTTTTTAATACATATTAGTATTAAAAAAACAAGATTTCAATCTTCCACCTGGATAACGGTCCAGTCTCTTAATTATGATGCAGAAGAAAATTGCATGATTGCTTTAGTCGTTAGACCTTGATTTCTCGATCTTCCATACAACGGTTATAACATCATTATCATACATATCAAAATGCATTTTAAACCTCACAAAATGTACAATAGAATGCAATACCTTCCATTTCTACGTAGAGAATGCAATACCTTCTGTTTGTTGTATATTACAAACAAGTTGTATAAACACCTAGCTAATTCCAACAACTTCCAAACTAAGAACAAAGGGAGGAACATACTATATTGGAGCCATAAACAGAGAAATTGGAAAAATTGAACAAATTGGAGCCATGAACAACAGCATTGGTTGCACTTCAATGTATTACTCGGAAACATGAACAACTAAACCGGAACAACAAAAGAATTACTTGCGACAAAAACCAAGTGATATTGAAAAAAAACATAATTTTTTGGAAATTATTTCCGTGAGTTCTCTCCATGTAAACAGTTTCAACTATCACAATATGCGAACTATCGATTTTGGATCAATTTCGTTTTGTGGGTTAGGGTTCACGATGGTTTGAGAATTTCAAATTTGAGAGCTTGGGATGGAGGCCACGCTTCTGAAAATAAGGTTTCAATCTCACACTTCAAAGTGGTTAAAGCGTGTTTTGGCTGTGGAGAAAATTGTGGCATTTTATTTATGAGTTGAACTGATTTAATTTGCCACATGTACAATTCATTATTCATCATGTTAATTAACAGAAGTTAGTTGGTGAGTAATGTAGTACAAATTTACAAAGTTCAGTGAATAATGGAGTGTAAATCAAAGTACAAACATTGGTTGCACTTCAATGTATAACTTGAAAACGTGAACAACTAAACCAGAACAACAAAAGAATTACTTGCTATAAAAAACAAGGGTGTGTTTGATAACACATCTTTTCCATGGAACTATGAATTTGTTTTCCATTTTCTACCATTTTGGTTGTTTGATGGGCACAATTTTCTTGGCAAAATATTTTCTTACTTGTGCCCACACGTGCACAATTGGCTGGTTTTTGTGGAAAACCTTTTCCTACCAAAATGTTGGGAAAAGGTTTTCCAGTTGCTTTTCATTTTATTTTTATTTTTTTTATTTTTGGCAATAGAAACAAATTTGATAATCAATTGTAAAAAGAATTTTCATTTTAATGGATAATTTTCATGTAAAACAAAACCAAACGAACACTAAACTTTGATGAAAAAATAATTTTTGAGCAAAAAATAATTTTTTTTTACTATTTGGTAATGGTAAAAAATTTCATACCAATTGTAAAAAAAAAAATAACTTTAAACAGTTTTTTAAAAAAAATTTCACTTTAATGGATAATTTTCATATAAAACGAAGTCAAACGAACACTAAATTTTGATAAAAAATAGTTTTCGAGCAAATTTTTTTTTTTTTTTACTTTTTGGTAATGGTAACAAATTTTATAATCAATTGTAAAAAAAAATCACTTTAATAGATAATTTACATGTAAAAGAAAGCCAAAAGTGAACAAAAAAATCAAAAATTTCAATTTTTTCCTGGGTGCAAAATTATACCAATCAAACACACTTAATTAACAATTCTCTGAAAAACAATTTCTGGGCAATTACTTTCCCTAGAATTCATTTTCTTTCCACCTATTTTTCACCATTGCAATCAAACACACCCCAAGTGATATTGAAAAAAAAAACATAATTTTTTGGGAATTATTTCCTTGAGTTCTCTCCATGTCAACAGTTTCAACTATCACAATATGTGAACTATCGATTTTGGATCAATTTCGATTTGCGGGTTAGGGTTCACGATGGTTTGAGAATTTCAAATTTGAGAGCTTGAGATAGAGGTCACGCTTCTGAAAATAAGGTTTCAATCTCACACTTCAAAGTTCAAAATGGTTAAGACGTGTTTGGGATGTGGAGAAAATTATGTGGCATTTTATTTATGAGTTGAACTGATTTAATTTGCCACATGTACAATTCGTTATTCATCATGTTAATTAACCTAAGTTGGTGAGTAATGGAGTACGGCATTACAAAGTTAAGTGAATAATGAAGTGTAAATCAAAGTACAATGATTAAAACGTTAAGTTATGCAAAATTTAGCCGAGTGTTAAAAATCAATTAACTCGCATGAGCTTTCACTTTCCACTCCAAGCCCTGAGATATTTCTCCCTCAGAATCTCTCTCTCCAATAGCCCCCACACACATACATCGCCCATACATCGCCTGCGGCGACTGAATCAAGTGACGTCGTTTTCCGACGGTCGAACGTGAACAGAAATTAAAAGCAGAAGATGAAGATTTTCGTGAAAACCCTAAAAGGCACGCACTTCGAGATCGAAGTGAAACCCGAAGACACCGTACAGCCACTTCTCTCTCTCTCTCTCACGCTCTCTCTATGCATATATATCTTATATTATGTGATAAAGTGTGTGAGAATATGTTGAACTGAATTATTTCTTAAATTTCGAGTGATTAGAGCATAATTAGGTTTTTGGCATTGTTATCGTTTTTCGGATTCTAGGTTTTCTAATGTCATTTCCGGTTTTGTTTCTGTAATTATCACCGTTTTAGTCTTGAAATTCGATTCTGTTTCTTCTTCCCTAATGGCCTATTGCGTTGGATTTTTCAGTGTCAGTATTGATTTTCAATTTATGGTGGTGTTATCACGTGCTATTTCTAGCGGAACTTTCCATCAAACTATAAGCTTGTTTGGGAAGGATTTTAATCCAATTAAAATTGAAAATATAGTCGATATTGGATCTCACCCGTCTAATAAAAATCAACAATAACGGTTAGTTTTTCAATTTTAATCCTATTTTAATCCCTCCCAAACAAGCTCATAATGTTTATTCTTTTGATACTGCTGGCAGTCAGTTAAATTTTAGTTTTTTAAGGAAGCGAAGTGGAGAGAAAGAAAAAGAACAGGTGGTAATTGGCATTTACACTTTAGCATAATTGCCCAGCAAAATGTGTTACTGATACAAATCCCACTGCTCTCAGTCCTCTTCAACCTGTTTTTCAGAAACAGAAAAGCAGGAACAAGCATTTCTTTGTTAGGACTGGGTTTAAATTGTTCATTCTTCTTAATCCATATGTACCATCGATATAATCTATCGATTAAAATCGTCTTTAACTTTATACAAGTTCACAAAGGGAGTTGCTTTGCAGGAACAAGCATTTCTTTGTTAGGACAGATGATTTTTTAACAGAAATCTATCTACTTTTACTGCAGACAAGTGTAATAATTGATTAGGAGGCTTAATCAACATTTCTGTGCTGGTGAACATCAGCTCCACTATATCTCATTTAACTAATACTAATCATGCTATATTATTTGATCCGCTAAACACGGTTTTGAGAATATGTTCATTTTATTCTTTATATTTTGCATTTTATGTAATTTTTCCTTAATTCTGAGCTCCTTGTACTTTAAATGATAGTTGAGGGTCAAGTATTTGCAATGGGAATAGTGACCCACAGCCTCATAAGCTTGTGTGTTCAACTGATTGGTTATCTGTTAATTTGATCTATTCTTGGTGGTTCAATAGGTGGCAGATGTGAAGAAGAATATAGAAACGTGTCAGAGTTCAGATGTCTATCCTGCTACTCAGCAGATGCTTATTCATCAGGGGAAAGTTCTTAAAGATGAGACCTCGCTGGAGGAGAACAAAGTTGCTGAAAAAAGTTTTATTGTCATTATGTTGAGCAAGGTACCTATTGCCAAATTATTGGGACTGTGTCTACATTTCACTTGCTTTATTAAATGTAAAGAAAAAAAGTATCAATTGCATTTATGTAGTCACAGCATTGAATTCCACTACTCATTATGTTTGCACTGTTCAACTATTGCAGAACAAGGCTTCATCAAGTGCAGCTTCAACTGCATCTGCTGCTCCTTCGAGTACCGTGAGTGCATCTGACTCAATAATGCATGCTATTTTGGTAGTATGGTGTTAGCAAGCCTTTCAGCTACTGTTTGAGCCCCATTCTTTAAAAAGTCATTTTTCTGCAAACTCATTTTCAATTACACATTCTCCCATTAAAATAAATTTACATGTAAATCCATAACTTTTCCTTCTTTTAAATACATATTCTCCAAAAAAAATCAATATTACAAATTCTAGCTCCTGTATGACCCTCATTATCTAAAAACTCATTTTTCCTTAAACTCATTTTCAACCAAATAAAATAATTTACACATTAATCCAAAAACAATCCTACTTTTAAACACACAATCTCCAATAACTCGCTATTACAAAACTCAATTTTTTGTTAAAATGGGGCTCAAAATTATTTCAAATTTTAAATTTAAATTTTGTTTATATCATTAGTTTGGGAAATGGATGGATAAAGATTAAGTAAATATTATTTGCATACAATCACTTGCTCTTTAGCAATCTTAATGTCTTTTGCTTTTATTTTGTGAACTATAATGTTCATCTTTACACTAATTCAACCATGCATGCAAATGCTGATCGAGAGGGGGGCCAAGCTAGGAGCAGCTGCCCCTAAATTTCCAGATTTTTATATTCATATCCTTGTTGACTTTGAATTCAGTACAAACCCCCTCCCGCTGACGTCTTCCTACCCTACTTTCCTCTGACAAGAACAGAATCCCATCAAAAGATATATTAAAATTGGTAAATATCTGCCCCACCATGGGAAAAAAGGGTTACCCGAGATATTTTGCTGCCCTATAATTAAATAGTATATACTTAATTAAATGATTGATTTTTTCTGGTAACGTTTTCAAAGTTACATGTATTTGCATGTTATTGAGGTTATGAAGTGGACCTAATTTTGGATGCATTTCTTTATGATAGATTTATTCTATGTTGGCTGTCATTTGTTATAGTGACTTTGTACACTCGTATTTACTGGTGTTGCTAACATTTAAAATATAGTTGTCATCTTGGGAACTCAGAAATAAAACACGATTAGGAGTGAGTTCTGTCTGCTTTGTCTTTCTGCTTGCGTTAAGCATTGGGATATTACTGAAGCCCTTGGAGGACTCACAAAACTCATTTAATTTATGTCCTCACAATGCTTCATGTACAAATATAGTCCCTTAAATCTTACTAATGTGCCAAATCCATGAGCTGGATAAAGGCTTGCATTTCTTTATGCACCATTACCACGAAAGGAGAAGCTGTTGTACATGTATATGCTTATATGAAGTTTGGTTTGCATGCCATTTGATTAGTGGGGATGATTGATAATTTTTTTCGTCTATTCAGACCCAACCTGCATATAATACAGCCCTGCCCACACAGCCTGTAACGGCACCTCAGCTTCCTGCATCAACAGTGGTCCCGTGAGTTCCAACTCTGTGCTCTAGTTTTGAGCTATGCAGGTGAAGAGATTCTTTGTTGATTTTAGTTTAACCTTTTCCATTTCTATTGGATACAGTCCACAATCTGCTCCAGCTCCAGCTCCAGCTCCAGCTCCAGCTCCAGCTCCTGCTCCTGCTCCTGCTCCCGTTTCTGTTTCGTGAGTACATGTGTTCTTGAAGACATCATTTAGAATGTTCTTGAACAATTTAGTATTGATTTGTTTATTTTTGTTTGAAACAGTTCAGTTACAGATGTCTATGGTCAAGCAGCGTCAAATCTTGTTGCTGGAAGTAACTTGGAGACTACTGTTCAAGAAATTCTTGATATGGGTGGAGGAAGTTGGGATAGAGAGACAGTTGTTCGTGCTCTACGTGCTGCATATAACAATCCAGAGAGGGCTGTTGAGTACCTGTATTCTGTGAGTCTTCTTTCAAGGATTCATCATCTTACCCATATTTTACCTTTTTGGTGATCACACTTTCCTTTTGCCAAAATGAAAAATTTGACTGCATGAACTGCATAGACAAATTCTTGTACTCTGGTTTCTTGCATTGTTTGTTGAGATCTGGAATTTCTATTCTTGTTTACTTTTAATTCCATCTTTTGTAACCTAGGGGAAGAGTTCTATTTCAGGGTATTCCTGACCAAGCAGAAGTTCCTCCTGCAGACCAACCTCCAGCAGCTCAACCTCCTGCAAGTGGGCAGCCTGTGAATTCTTTGACTCAGGCTACACAGCCAGCAGTACCATCCACTGGGCCCAATGCTAATCCTTTAGACCTTTTTCCACAGGTTGGAAATGTTCCTTAATATAATTTGATCTTTCATGAAAGAATAAAAGAAATTACTTCTAATTGGTTTAATCTTTCTGTTGCCAGGGCCTTCCAAATTTGGGCCCAAATGCAAGTGGTGCTGGCACCTTAGATTTTCTTCGAAATAGTCAACAGGTACAGAAAATGCTTTTCATATGAAACACAATATTCTGTTAACAAGAAATATGTTTATTATTATTATTTTTTCATCCTTTCTCCTCCTCCATCTGTTTCCAGTTTCAAGCTCTGCGGGCCATGGTGCAAGCAAATCCACAAATCTTGCAGGTACTGATTTTGCATATCAAATACAGTGTTTCAATTCATAGATGGTAATGCTTTTTTTTCCTTGTAATGATATCATTCTTGGGACCTGCAGCCTATGCTTCAAGAGCTGGGAAAGCAAAATCCACAATTAGTGCGGTTGATTCAAGAGCATCAGGCTGATTTCCTACGCCTAATAAATGAACCAGTTGAAGGGGAGGGGTGAGAAATTCTACCTGTAGTTTTACCTCTATCTTGGTTCACACGGCAACTTTGATTTGGTTATATGCCTTTTTGTTCTTGTTCTTCTAGATCTGCGTTCCATCCTTAATTCTTTTTGCTTCTTCTCATGACTGATGACATAATTTCAATAATGATTTAGGAACATATTAGGGCAGCTTGCTGAAGCAATGCCACAGACTGTTTCTGTCACACCGGAAGAGCGGGAGGCAATTGACCGCGTAAGTTCTTCATTATCCTATCTAGTTTAATTAATGATGAATACTTAAAATTTCAGTTCATTAGATAATCATTTTCATCAACCATTCCTACTGGGTTTCACTTTTACTGTTGTCTATGCTGATAGAATAAATTTGAAGTTCCTGGTACCTTGATCCTTAACTTTGAGATAATGCATTTTTAACAGCTCATATCACATAATTTTAAATCATGTTTGTGAAGTGTTTATATATTGTTTAAATTATAAATAGATAGAAATAAGTGGTGGATAAGTATGTGGTAGTACTCGTGGTTGCTCGATATGTGTGTATAAAAACTAAAAAATGGTTTTGAGTATTTATAAAGAGAATATAAACATGAACCAAACATAGGCTTAGTTGTTGGATCTCGATTTTGGCAAATATTGTACTCTTAAGATCTGAATGATACACACCTTGTAAGCATGCAATTCTAGATTGTCAATTCAAATTTGTAGGAAGCTTTTAATGCTATTCCTATCCAAATTGGGAGTGGCAATTTATAATTAGTGAATGACAATAGGAGTCTCGCAATTGCCATAGAGCTTTAGTCGCCATGTTTGTGATGATCATAATTACGATTTCTTCTCCGAATGTATTTTTCATATGTAAAAAGTACGTTAATATAGCATAATACTGTTTCATTTAGTGATGAGTTAACGGACATTTCTAGACACGTGACACTAGTGAATAATACTGTTGCATAATACTTTTGCTAGCAAGCTACCCGCGCCAACCTCATCTATGGGCATTTCTATCCGCCCGTGTGCAAGATTGGATTGACTACTCTTCTACCATCATTCTGAAGGTCTTTTCTTCAATAGGAAGGAAAGTGAATAGCTCAAAATACATTCTGATATGTTGACATATGTTAAAACCCTAATCTTCAGCAAGGCTTCTTACATGACCTTTGGTCCACTAATCTATGTCTTGAAGCCTGCTTATTTGCAGTTAGACTCGTTAATTTTTTGTTATTTGGCCCACTAATCTCTGACTCGAGAGTATCTGTGCATCCCCCATGTTACCAGCTCCTGAGATTCTTGATGAAGGTATTATTTTAGTGAGAAGATCTGCACAGAAAAATAATGCATGAGTTGATGAGTCGGGCTTTCCGAGTATTTTCCATAATGGATCCTCGTTAAAAAGAAATGATTATTTGTCTTTTTGGTTGAATCCTCGAGATCCATCAAAACCATGATAGAACCAGAACTGAGAAAATGGCCATGTGATCTTTACCCTCAAGTATCAACAGCTTCAAATCAGAAGATGGAGCATTTTATTTCTGGCTGATTGTTAGTGAAAATCATTTTCAAATCATGTATTATCCTTCTACGACAAATAAATTATCATAGTCGCATAATGTTCTGCTTGTAACCGGCTGGAAATTTGATTTGCAGCTTGAAGCAATGGGTTTTGATCGAGATTTGGTATTGGAAGTATTTTTCGCTTGCAACAAGAATGAGGAACTCGCGGCAAACTATTTATTAGATCATATGCACGAGTTTGATGAGTAAAGCTGGTTGAGCTTACTGGGTTCTTTTCATACTCAATTACTAACGCTTCTTGTTTACTTCTCTTAACGTGCAATGGCTTTTCCTAGCCATGTGAATTTTTTTTTGTATTTTTTTTTCCCTCCTTTTTCTGTTGACATCGTTCTTATCGACTTTGATGAACGGAAGAATTGCTTAAATATTTGCCCATCTTATTGTGCTTTCAAGTCTCCGTAGAAGCATTAACAAAACCATAGACCAGGTTCTCCTTTTATAGCATGTTCACAGTATGCAAAACATGTCTATGAGCAGCACCAGAGATGCATTCTGGGGAAAGGAAAGGTGTCATATTTGCATAGATGAATACAAATTTTGAGGGTTCTGTCTGTTGCTTTTGTTACTTCACGTTCAAACAGAGACTACAGACAAGTCAATTGACTTGATCCTACTTTAATGGTTTAAGCTGAAATTTTCCAAGTCCCCGTTTGGCACTTCGTTTATAATCTGTTTATAATCAGTCAGTACTTCTAATTGAACGACTTTATGTAATTATAACTTCATCAAGAGTTTTGTAGATCGTTTTCAAATTACCGCAACGGCCTCTAATGTGACAATGACATGTACACGAAAGGGCCTAGAGAAAACTATGACTGCGCGTAATTATAACTTCATCTAGAGTTTTGTAGAGCGTTTTCAAATTACCATAATGGCCTCTAATATGACAATGACATGTACACGAAAGGGCCTAGAGAAAACTACTAGTATCAATAATGTTCATTGGACAAGTTCAACGACTATATATAAGGTGGTGTAGCAGATAATAATTGGGTGTTGTTTTGGTTTTTTTCTAATCATGTGTCGACACTTGTCCTCCGATTTTTGAACATGTTTGTGTAGCACAATTGCTATTAGTATAGTCACCATCTTTATATGTGCCTTGGTTGTTAGGTCTCTTTGGTAGGGACCCAACATTTACAATAAGGGTTAAACCACTTTGTCAAAAGAATAATGTCAGAAGTAGTGCTAGAATCCTTAATGGCAGGAGGTGATTTGTTCTAAAAAAAATGATTGAGAATCCTTGATGGCAGAAGGCAGTTTGATGGATAAAATGTTTGTCTAAAGCAGTTCAACGATAGACAATCACGTGGTATTATGTCAATTATTCTGACACCGTAGCATGATTTTTTTAAAGCATAGAGCTGATGGTCTTTTATAAATTATATGATTGATGCATTGACCAACATCATCCTATATCTATCATAAACCTTTAAATTGTATAATTGAGTAAAAACAAAGTATAATGATAATTTGAAAACCCGCAAGTGTAAGGGATCATGGTCAAATAATAAAGTAGTGAATAAAGTGTCGAACCCACGAGAACTACGTATTTGATCGAATTAAAATTAATTCCAATTTTAATCGAATAGCAAACAAATTTTGTGATTTTTTTAATAATAATTCCTAAATTATCTATTAAACTAGAAAGTAAAAATATTTTTCAAATATGTGAGATGTATTGCTAAGATGCCGAATCTCCCTTATTATTATATTTTTATTGTAACAATTAAATTGACAATTTGAAATTAATTATGTTGGTCAATGTTCCTAATTTAATTGAAATCTTATCTCGATGTCGATCAAATCTATTCCCCTCATGTGACATTTCTATCTCTCGATAAAAGATGCAAACATGATAAATGCATTAACATGTACTGGAACACCTATTGAAATCATATAAAGTATAGATGTATACTTCTATCATCTATCGAACATTACAACGTTTATTATATTGTGCTTAAATCATATTGTCTCTCTCGATAACAATAAGATCCACTAACAATTCAATTGGTGATCAAACAATTGTAAAAAAACTATAATAAACATCCACAAATCAAATCAAAGTAAAGTCAAAATAATTAATTAAAAACTAAAAATATCATAACAAGGGTTCATCTCATCCTAACAATGTATAAAATTAGCCTAACATATTGAAATTACAAGAAATCATATTTAAGTGAAAAGATATAACCCGGATTTTTGATAAATTGAGAAGATGAAAGAACACCTATTGAAATCATATAAAGTATAGATGTATACTTCTATCATCTATCGAACATTACAACGTTTATTATATTGTGCTTAAATCATATTGTCTCTCTCGATAACAATAAGATTCACTAACAATTCAATTGGTGATCAAACAATTGTAAAAAAACTATAATAAACATCCACAAATCAAATCAAAGTAAAGTCAAAATAATTAATTAAAAACTAAAAATATCATAACAAGGGTTTATCTCATTCTAGCCATGTATAAGACTAGCCTAACAAATCAAAATTACAAGAAATTATATTTAAGTGAAAAGATATAACTCGAATTTTTGATAAATTGAGAAGATGAAGATGAATCTTGAAATTTTGAATTTCTTCAATGGTTTCTTGATGAATCTCTACTTACGTCTTCTCTTCTTTACCCAAAAATCAGGTTTGAATCTTCACTTGATTGAATTCTTGCAAATCCTCTTCAATTCTCTCACAAAAAATATGAATTCTAATCATTTGATGATAATAATTAATGAATATTGAAGTATAAAATTTATATGAAAGGTCCCACATATGTATTCTGCTATTAGGTATTTGTAGGAGTAGAAAACTGGTTGAAAATCACATTCAAATTGGTTTCCAAATAGTTTTAATCGAATAAGGAAAGTTGCCTTCGAGCAGATTTTTGGATCTCTGCACAGCGGTCAGTCAGTATTTTTGTCATACATTTATCTCCTGGTATCCAATTGAGATGATTCAAAGTGCATTGAAAATTTAACTCAAATGGCTACAACTTTGATAAAAATAGGATTTTTCCAATTCTGACGTTTACTATGCCAAAATGGATCTCAATCTTCGACAAAAAATCTGGAATATAACTTATGCGATTGGAAATTGATTTTGATAATATTTTAATCAGATTCTATTCCATTTCTTTTTGAATATTCTAATTCCATCCAATTATCTTCTAGTAATTTTCAAAATATCATCTTGTGGTCCGAATTAACTATTGAATATTTGCAATTTGATCATCAAACTTTGGATTTTTGCAATTTTCCACCAATTTTGGCTTCTTTATTTCGATTTTTCGTTCAACCATTGAGTTTTATTTATATAATATAAAATACAACAATTTAGGATATATTTTATCAAAAGAACTATCAAATATCGTTATTTTAGATCTCGAATAAATGTATAAAATACACTTATCATATAACATAGGACACGAGCTCAATATCACGCACTAAAACTGAGTTGAATAACATAATCGTACTGACAAAAATGTTAATAATGATCATCATAATCTCACTTACATAAGAATTTAATATGGCCCGTATTTATTTTAATGGTTTGATAATTATTTAAATATGTATTCAATTGAGCGTATGAAGAATTATCAAGAGTCAATCAGTGGATCAATGTATGTCTTTTTATTTATCTAAGTTTGTGACAATCTTCAAGTTCTAAGATTCAGGCATTTAGTTTATACAAAACACTGTTGCTTTAAAAATTCATGTTTCAATGTGGTATCAGAGCATTGTCGTTTTGAAACTTGTAGTTTTTCAATTATGGATAGAGTAATGCTATTCATCCTCATTGGGGATGAAAACATAGTCTACGTAGCGTTAATGTGACATTAAATGATATGTGAAATTGAAAAAGTCATTTAATTTTACCTTTCATTTAACATATCATTTAATGTCACTTAGACTGTGTTTTCATTTAACCTATTTTTGAATGAGAATTTAAAATGAAATATTTTCACATGTATTTCTTGCTTGCTTAATTTACTTATTGGACTTTATATCTGTGACCTTGAAATCCATTAAAATATGAGATATTATTTATATAGGCTCAAAATCCACTAAAATTTATTACAATCCCTCTAATTAATGAATCGTTAGAAATTCAAAGTTTATTGAGAATGCCTGTATTTTGAAGAATCTATTAAAAATTTAAAATGTGAGTTGAGGACATCGAGATTTTATTTTATTTTTTACTAAAATCTAAGGAGGGTGTATTCAATTTACAGAATAAACGAAAGTCATTCATAGATTTCTAGGGACTTTCATTTAATACTGTTATAAAATTTATTTTAATATTCCAAACTTTCATTTTGAATTATTTATTTATAATATTCTGAACCGTGACCTGCGCTGCCAAATGATTCATAACACAGTAACAAAATTATATTTCTCATGTCAGCAAAATTATTTTTAAAAAAAATAAAAAATATAAGCCACTTCAATTAGAAAAGTAACAACTAAAAGTTTTGAGTACAAAAAAAAAATCTTTAATGTTCAAAATGATTAATATGTTCAAACCTATAAAAGTTACCAGCAACATATATAAGAATTGCAAATTAATCCTTTTTATAAAATTTTAATTAAAAATGATATTTTTCCCTTAAAAAAATGGGGGAAACAATTAAAATAGAGAGAAATATCTTATTGGAATTTTTATTTTCTAAATGATCTTCTTTTTCATAGGAAAAAAAGAAGAAATTATGAAAAGGAAGAGACAGAAGAAATAATAATATTATATTGAAGAGAGAGAGAAATATTAATTTTTTGTATAATAACTATATGGTTCGCAAAATAAAAGAGGAAAGAGAAATACTCCACATTGAGATTTGAGAGGCATTATTCTTTTTCTGTTTCCTTTTTTGAACTTTTTCAAAATCTTGGGGATGAATGAGATACTTTTTAGCCATGATGCTCGGACTCTTCAAAAATGGAGAAGTATTTGTGTTGACATGACTAGATATGGCAACAGTATCGTCGCCCCGTTCGAGGCTCCGCGGGTATCGGGTTTGTTGGGTTTTTTTGTCATCCCTAGACACGACATGACATGACGCGAATACTGACACAGAATATAGATCAGATCCTTGGTTGTGCAATTGAACACATCAACAAAAGGTTGAAGATGGTGGACGGTGGAGTATTGCTTCCGGCTTGCGTCTGTGGCGACAACCAAACCCA